AATGGAACTGGCAGAAGAAATGGCTAAACCACTACCCATTATATCTAAGTCATGGCTGCCCACTGACTATAAAAGGAGAAACATAACCCCCATTTTTAAAAAGGGAATTAAGGACAACCTGGGAAACTACAGTCCAGTCAGTCTCACCCCTGTGTCTGGCAGATCATGAAGCAGTTCATCCTGGAAACTAAGCTAAGGCACATGGAAAATAAGGAAGTGATTGCTAACAGCCAACATGGCTTTGGTAAGGGCAAATCATGCCTGTCAAATTTGGTGGCCTTCTGTGATGGTGTTATAGGTTTGGTTGATGAGGGAACAGAGACTGATGTCATCTGACTGGACTAGTGCACAGCATTTGACATTTTCCCAAATGACATCTTTGTCTCTAAACTGAAGAAACATGGATTTGAAGGATGGACTGCTTGGTGGATAAGGGATGGTCACACAAAGATTTGCTGTCAACAGCTCCGTGTCCAAGTGGAAACCAGAGATGAGTGGCATTCCTCAGGGGTCAGTACTGGGAACAGAGCTGTTCAATAACTCTGTAGGCAACAGGAATAGTGGGATCAAGGGTACCCTCAGCAAGGGTGCCAATGACACCAAACCACATGGTGTGGTTGCTATGCTGGAAGAAAGGGGTGTCACCCAGAGAGAAGAGGTAGGCCCATGTGAACTCTTATGAAGACCAGTATGGCCAAGTCCTGCATGTGGATTGGGGCATTCCCAAGTGCAGGTACAGGCTGGGTGGAGAATGGATTGAGAACAGCCCTGAGGAGAAGGACTTAGAGGTGTTACTGGATGAGAAGCTCAAGATGTCCCAGATGTGTGTGCTGGCAGGGGAGGGAAGGATTCTGACCCTGTGCCCCCTCAGATGAGACCCCGCCTGGAACACTGCATTCAGCTTTGAGGTTCCCAACATAAGAACAATGTGGGCGTGCATGAGTGAGTCCAGAGGAGGCCACAAAGATGCTCCAACATCTGGAACCCCTTTGCTATGAAGACATGCTGAGAGAGCTGGGGGCGTCCAGCCCGGAGAAGAGAAGCCTCCAGAGAGAACAGAACCCCTTCCAGTGCCTAAAGGAGCTCCAAGAGAACTGGAGAGGGACTTTGGACAAGGGTCTGGAGTGACAGGACAAGGGGGCATGGCTTCAAAGTGACAGAAGGCACGGCTATATGGGATATTGGGAAGAAATTCCTCCCTGTGAGGGTGGTCAGGCACTGGCACAGATTTCCTAGAGAAACTGTGGCTGCCCCATCCCTGGAAGTGTCCAAGACCGGTTTGGACAGGGCTTGGAGCAACATTGTATAGGAGGTGTCCCTGCCAGTCTCATGGAAGAGAAGGGAAGTTGGAATTGGAATGGTCTTTAGGGTCTCTCCCAATCCAAACCATTCTGTGACTCTTTGATTCTGTATTACACCTTTTCTGGGAATGGGAGTCCAGAGCTCCCTCCCCAACCTGATGGGAGAAAACCCTCTGCTCTCACACCCTGGGAGAGGTCGTGACCATCCATGGTCATCAAGTGGCCTTCTTAAAGCTATGCTCTGATATGACAAGGTGCTCCTGTCCCCTTCTCAGCCAGGACCAATAACATTCTGCAGTGCTGAACCACATGGAATATGTTCGGAACAGACATGGGTTCTGAGTTGGGGCCCACTACCCAAAATGTGTGTGCTGCAATGTCAGAGCCCTTCTTGGAGCAAATTCCTCATGCACAAGGAAGTGTCTGATGCTCTGTATTGCCTTGTATGTCATGCATCCTTTTTCTAACTTGGGCCCTGTGTCGCTGACCTCTTTCAATAAGCAAAATGCCAGCCTGCAAAATACTGTTTTCTGGGAGTTGTGGGTAGGGAAGGGCTGAAGGGGTCTTTGTTTTTGTCCTGGTTAGGTAGTTTGACAGTGGGAGCACATAGATGGAAGACAGGCTTTCAACTGAGACCGTGGTTTGTATATGTTAACAGAATTGGAGTCAAGCGCCAAGGATAAACTGAAGACTGCAAATCTCTATCTAAGTTGCTCCCTGAGTGTGTGAGCTGAGCTCTGGGATGGTGGAAAAGCTCTTGAATTCTGCAGCAGCAGAAATTCCTGCAGGAAAAAAAAATAAATTTGTTGTTTCTAGATTCTGTAATGTGCTGTAACCATTCCTTGTTGAAAGGGGTATTAACATTCAAATGGCATAGATTTCTACAGGCCCAAATCTTTACCTCAAGGATTTCTTTTACCTATGATGCAGATTAAAGGCATAAGAAACACCTTTCCTGAGCTGTCAATATGGGTACTTTCTGATGAATTAGAACATCATTAAGAAAAGAGGAACGTGTATTGTTCAGCTGCACTGATCTACATAGCAGAAATCACATCACATCTTCTGCCACTTCCCTTAGCACAAATTCATGCACAGGCTTGTAACAACCCTTCTTGGAGAATCTCCCACTTCTTTTGCAATTTCAAGTGCACAGATGGGCATATCTGTCTCAGTGTGCACATGAGCTCTTCATCATGTATCACAAGTGACCTTACATCTCTCTCTGAGACCCAGCCCAGTAGCTCAGCTACACCCCACCCTCCTATTTCTGTGACCAAATCTTCATCCCTTATCCCATCTTGCCATGCATGTGACTCTCAGTCACCAGCACTATCACACTGCAGGACCCAGATTACTCCCTTACTTTCAGGATCTTACCAGTACATCTGTCAAATACTTTTAGTAATACTTCCCTCTTAGTAGCCTGCCTAATGTGCTGCTCTTAGGCATTTCTTACAAGCTTCACACCATCAACAGGGGAAGCTAAAAGCTGACATTCCTATTGTACAGCTGGGATAGCTGAGGCACAGACATACCAAGCAATCCACCCGGGGTCATACAGTGAGTCGGTGGGAAAGCCAGCAATAGAATCCATAAGTCCTGAATCCAAGTTCTCTAAGTGCTTTGACTAGTCCGGATTCCCTCCTTAACACCCTTGTCACATTATTTATAGGAGCTGTATTCATATAGTCAGTAAGACATCAAAATTTTCTAATTATATCTAGTCATGTCAAATGACAATTATGCCCTTAGTTCAGTTTGCCAGACAATGCTTAGCCAAAGAATGTTTGCCAAAAATGTTTTGACCGAAGAAAGAGGAGGCATCTGTAGCATCTGCAGACGAGATCGTATAAAACGTCCCCACGACACGTCTGCCCTGGCTCCAGGGAAAGCTCCAAGGTAGGTGAGGGGGGTCTGCAGGCTGGCAGGAAGTGATGGTGCCCTTATGTGCCACAACATTCCTGCTGCTTCCAGTGTTCGTGTCCAGGAGGAGACTCCATTATAAACCTGCTCTCAAGGCATCTGCACATTTTCACTTTGGATTTCTGTGCAGCAGCAATGAGGGAACTGCCATTTCTGTTTTACAGCACTGACCAGCTGCCAGCCTGCAAGCCACCCATCTGGTGTCACAGGAGGTAAGAACCTGATTTACTGATTCTTAGAGGGCAGAGACAGAGGGTGGGGTTTCTGTTTGGCTGAGTGAATGGTCATATTTTCAAGTACACTGTAGTCAACAGTAGAGGATGGTGGGTGCCTAAGACAGGTAAGGTTTTCAAGGGAATCATTGAATCATAGAACAGCCCAGGTTGTAAGGGACCTCAGAAGATCATCTGGTCCATTCTTAAGGTGGCTGTGTTTGAAGCCTCTGACTACTCATGGCAGACCAGGAAATCCCCATGGGGACATTCTTTACTTCTGCTTAACTCCCCTAGCAGGCACTGAGGTGCACGACCTTCCCACCATTGCTGGTGCAGCAGTAGAATTTGACCAAGAAGAACACCGTACGAAAAGTGTAAAATTCAATTTTTTGTCTCAGAACATGTAAATTAATGTGATGTTTTGTCCAAAATTTGCCATAGAATCACTAAAGCAGTAAGAGTAGAAAGAGCTGTAATGTGAGCAACCAAGATCTGATTGTCACCTGTGTAAAACACAGCACTGCTGTTTGTCCCCTGTGCTGTTCTGCCTCGTCTCTGCCTCAGAAAATGGAAGCTGCAGCTCTCCTCCTCTGGAAGCCATTACCTGTTCCTCCAGACACAAATAAAGAATTATCCTGTTATTCTCTCATTTTAGTACAAATGTAGCACAATATTATTGTGTAAATATCAGGTACCTAACTCTATATAGAAAGAGATATGTAAATGTTTTCCTAAGCTGCCTACTGTTTTGGTTTCTTTTTCTCAGAGCGAGGGGGAAAGACAGGGGGAAGAAAAAACCAGTTCAGAGAAATTAATACTGGCTTTCAAATTCCTTATTTTTAAATTCCTGATCTGAGCTTTGAAACTTTGTGTTGTAAACTTTGTGTTTTAAAAAGCAAAAGGAAGTACTAGAAAAGGAGCTATCTCAGTGTGGTCTGAAAAGGTGTTGCTCTTCTTTTGGCATTGTTGCAATTTATGCCAAGAAGTCGATAAAATTAGCAAAAAATTGTATTATAAATACAAATATACAAATGTTTTAAATACTGAAACTAAGCCACTGAGAAGCTTGAGTTTTCAGTATGATACTCCAAACAGTGGAGTATAAGCATTCTAAGCTTTGTGAATTAGTATCACTTAGGAGGAAATAGCATTATAATAATTTCAAATTAATTTTAGGAATGCCTAAGCAGTTGAAAGGATTTTTGAGGTCCTTTATTACACAATACAGTCCCTGAATACCAAATATTAAGTTATGGGTTATTTTAAATGGGATTTCAGCACAAGCCAAATAATTTCCCAGAATATAATTTTCACATTTTCCATAACTGTTTAAACCCACCAAAGCAAAAATATGCAATTCCTTCCAAAAGGCTATTAAGGGTATCAATATAGTTTCTTTCCCCCCATCTCTTTTATTCTACTAAAAAGTGCTTATTTTTGACAAAATTGAGCAATATATCTGCTCTTCCACAGTGTTCTCTGCTGACGAGCCTCTCCACAAAGTGCAGCCATGTCTTCGGATTCCGAGATGGCCATTTTTGGGGAGGCAGCTCCTTACCTCCGGAAGTCAGAGAAGGAGAGAATTGAGGCTCAGAACAAGCCTTTCGATGCCAAGTCATCTGTCTTTGTGGTACATGCAAAGGAATCCTTTGTGAAAGGGACAATCCAGAGCAGGGAATCAGGGAAAGTCACTGTCAAGACTGAAAAGGGAGAGGTGAGTGAAAAACAAGCTTGAAGGACAACATTTTCTTCCCACTCTGGGTTCTTAGCTGACATCCATGCATGTCCTCTGACAGACCCTGACTGTGAAGGATGATCAGATCTACTCCATGAACCCTCCCAAGTATGACAAAATCGAGGACATGGCCATGATGACCCACCTCCATGAACCCGCTGTGCTGTACAACCTCAAAGAGCGTTACGCAGCCTGGATGATCTACGTAAGTGGCAGCAGGAGCTTCCTTTGGGCAGCTGGAGGAACTGCTCTGCCAGGCCCAGGGGAAGCCAACGTGCTGTGTCCCTTCCTCGCAGACCTACTCGGGTCTCTTCTGCGTCACTGTCAACCCCTACAAGTGGCTGCCCGTGTACAACCCGGAGGTGGTGTTGGCCTACCGAGGCAAGAAGCGCCAGGAGGCCCCTCCACACATCTTCTCCATCTCTGACAACGCCTATCAGTTCATGCTGACTGGTGAGTGGCTCTGTCTGTCTCAGATAGATTGGACCATTAAATTCTCTGCAATATGAAGGGACTTTTTAAAGCTTTCATGGTTCTAAAACACAATTCATATTGTGGGGTTTGCTATCTTCATAACATTGTTTCTACTCTTATAAAGGAAAGACACCTCTGCGCACAGTGATGTGTTTTGAGTGTTTGTTTCTTTGTTTAAGTCAATCTGACATAAGGCAAAACATTTAACTTACCTAACCATGTTTCATTCTTTCTCTGTTGTTCATTGACTTTTAAGTATTGTATTTCTGTCTCTTCCCCAGATCGGGAGAACCAGTCCATCCTGATCACGTACGTACACCCCCTGCTCGGGTCCCTGAGGGGCTGCCCAGGGCCAGGGCCCCTCCTGCCTGACCACACGCTCTCTGCTTCTCTCCTTACTCTGACAGCGGAGAATCTGGTGCCGGGAAGACTGTGAACACAAAGCGTGTCATCCAGTACTTTGCAACAATTGCAGCCAGCGGGGACAAGAAGAAGGAGGAGCAGACATCAGGCAAAATGCAGGTAAATTAATAGACACATGCTGGTAATGCTTTCCTCTGTTCCTGACATGATTTTTGGAAAGGATAACCATCAATAATTTTCCCCCTGCAGGGAACACTTGAAGATCAAATCATCAGCGCCAACCCACTGCTGGAGGCCTTTGGAAACGCCAAGACTGTGAGGAACGACAACTCCTCACGCTTTGTGAGTTGCTTAACAAAATGATTCCTCAAACACAGGAAATAGAAGTTTAGGTCAGTTATCCTTTTCTGTTGTTCAGGAAGGAAGGAAGGAAGGAATGGGAGAGAGTTTCTAATTTAATATAGTAGCTTTATCTCAAATTTATTTAACCACAAGTGAAATTGTCTATTAGCAATACAGATTTAAGCAGCTGAACTACTTAAATTGCTGTTTTCATATCATTAAGGCAACTGCTCTCTGTGTGCAGGATACAGTTAGAATAGTTTCTCTAATGAAACCCACACATTCCTTCAATTCGTACATTCAACCTACACAAAATACAGCTGTGCCAATGTTGATTATTTTTTGGTCAAAAATGAAAAAGACAACTTTATGTTAATAGTGGAATGTCTCTAAGTAGAAATCTTGTGCCCCATGGAATAAATGGAAGAACTCTTCATTTCAGTGATATTTTTTATGTTGTAAATTCTAATACACTTTAATTCCTTTAAAGGGCAAATTCATCAGAATTCATTTTGGTGCCACAGGAAAACTGGCTTCTGCAGATATTGAAACATGTAAGACACTTTCCTGAACAATCCATCTACTCACCTGTCTATCCATAAAACATCTTTTCATCGAAATATCTATCCTACCTTCCCTGTTTTTCTTCCCATCTTCTTTTTACTTTACTTTTTTTTTTCCTGTTTCTTCTTTTTTCTAACTAAATTTTTTTCTCCAGATCTGCTGGAGAAGTCCAGAGTCACTTTCCAGCTCAAGGCAGAAAGAAGCTACCACATCTTTTATCAGATCATGTCCAACAAGAAGCCAGAGCTAATTGGTAGGAAGAACTAATAACTGGAGGAAGATTGCTGAACACCGTTACTTGCTTGACTAAAATAAGCCTGTATATCCCCTCTTACTTTCAGACATGCTCCTTATCACCACCAACCCATATGACTATCAGTTTGTGAGTCAAGGTGAGATCACCGTTCCCAGCATTAACGACCAGGAGGAGCTCATGGCCACAGATGTGAGTACCAATTAAGAACATTGTACCTATTGTCATCTCTCCAAGACAAAGTTTTTATTTTACTGTTCCTGGTGCAGAGTGCCATTGACATCCTGGGCTTCAGTGCTGATGAGAAAACAGCCATCTACAAGCTGACAGGGGCTGTCATGCACTACGGGAACCTGAAGTTCAAGCAGAAGCAGCGTGAGGAGCAGGCAGAGCCTGATGGCACTGAAGGTATCAGCAAAATCTTTGGCTGACCTATTAGAATAGAAGTAGCAATAGTAATTCAATAATTGGAAGATGGAGAAAGAAAACAGTACAGGTGTGTTTAAGTGAAATAGTATATAGGCATGAAACTGCTGTCTAAAATACAGCCTTTTTTTGATTACTGCCTAATCATTATCTGCAATATCAATTGCATATATGCCCATAAATCTCTCCTGAGCTACCACTCTGAATTAGCACAGCCTGCTCAGTGTGTTTAAACCCACTGAGAAGGGAAAGATTTTTAAGAAATTCGTTTCAGGTTGATCTTTAAAGAAAATGGAGGGACTATATTCAGTATTAGGACTTCTACTTCGTAAACCACTTATTATCTAGGGTAAAATTGCTAATGAATACTAGTATGAATACTAGTATGAATTTTAATAAATACATTGCTTCTAGATGCTTCTTTTAAGAATTTTTTTTGTTTCAAAATAAGGATTTTTTTTTTTTAATAACTATGTCATGGCTCCTCTGAGGTCCAGTAAGCAGAATTTGGTCACAAGGACATTCAATATTGCAGCTGTTTTGCAAAGGGTTCATCACTCAAAGTGCTGCATGTCATATTAGTCTTAATTTTTCTATCTTCTTGTCCTTCTACTTAGTTGCTGACAAGGCTGCCTACCTGATGGGTCTGAACTCAGCAGACCTGCTCAAGGCCCTCTGCTACCCCCGAGTCAAGGTGGGGAATGAATATGTGACCAAGGGCCAAACAGTGCAGCAGGTAGGAAAAATAGAATAATGTGGAACATGCTTTGATGGTTGGTGTTGATTCTCCTCTGCTGTGTATAATAACCTCCAAACCTTCCTCTGTGCTTTAGGTGAACAACTCAGTGGGTGCCCTGGCAAAGGCTGTCTATGAGAAGATGTTCCTGTGGATGGTTGTTCGCATCAACCAACAGCTGGACACGAAGCAGCCCAGGCAGTACTTCATTGGAGTGCTGGACATTGCTGGCTTCGAGATCTTTGATGTAAGGATTCCAGTTTTGAGGACTACTCTTGCAGGGAGAGATTGTTATATCTGAGGACTTGCAAGCGATGTTCCTCTGAAGGCTTAACATGCTAGTCATTTGCAACTTTATGGGGAAAAAACTCCCATCATTTTCCTTTATAGCAGAGAGCAAAATCCTCAAAAGCTTCGTCATCATAAGCACAGTGATTCTGTTTGTGTAGAAGTAGCAAAAAGAATTTTATGCATTATGATACAACAGTTTGATCTTAACTTTAGAGATTAAATAAACCAACATAATTACAATAATTTTATAGAAGAGCTTCTAGAGCAGAACTAGGAGACCCATTGACAAATATATCACAGAATCACAGAGTATTCTGAGCTGGAAGGCACCCACAAAGATCATTGAGTCCACCACTAAAGCTAATGGCCCATATGGGGATCAAACCCATGACCTGGGTATTATTAGCACCATGCTCTAACCAACTGAGTTAATAACAGGTTAAAGATGTGTAAATTGTTTTAAGAACCAAGGAATGTTAACCAGAGAGATCAAGTTTTTAAATTTAGAGACAAGAGCACACCTTGTCTGAAGAGCACACCTTTTTGGCTGAATAAAAAATTGCCAAAGTATTTTATGATTTTTAGTAGATTCACTAGGAATATCTGCTCTGAAATAAACCCTCATTTTCATTATGTAGGTATTTCTTTGTGAAGCTGCATATAGATCCAGTTATGGTGTGGTTGTGATAATAGAGTTGTGTTTTAACTGAGAAGATTGATAAAAGCATGATTAAGAACTGTGCATGTTGACGAGGGCTGGTTGTTTTGGGGTTTTTCCGCTGTGCAGTTCAACAGCCTGGAGCAGCTGTGCATCAACTTCACCAATGAGAAACTGCAACAGTTCTTCAACCACCACATGTTCGTGCTGGAGCAGGAGGAGTACAAGAAGGAGGGAATTGAATGGACATTCATTGACTTTGGGATGGACCTAGCTGCCTGCATTGAGCTCATTGAGAAGGTACATTTTGACTTGAAAATGTCTTGCATTTTCAGGAACACATTATTTTAAGTTTCCCCTGTTAGTTTCTTAGTTTTAGTTGTTGAAATATGTCTTTGTTGCTAATTATGCATAATAGATATTACAAAGTCCAGAGAAAACTGTAGAAGTAATTCTTTCACATTCTCTGCATGGAAGGTATCTCCATTTGCATGATTAAAGGATATTATCTTCAAAAACACAGAGTAGCTCCTACAGTAACATGAAAATATTTTCTTAAGATTCTGGAATGAAGTTATCTGAACAATACATATTTTTCCTATATGGTTCATAGCAAAGTAAGGACAGGCTAACAGAGTCAATGCCTGATGTCTGAGAGCAAGAAACTGAGATTTTTTGTAGTACCATATAATTTAGGGAATTGATTGAAAGTTCAAAAGCAGAAGTAAATATGCAATGCAAAATAAATATGCAAAATAGTTCACATTTGTGAAAACTATTTTTCAATATACTTTTTCTCCTCCTGATCTTTAACATGGTTTCTGGAATAAAAACCATTCCTAAATCACTGTGACAAAGTATGAGTCAAGCAGGTGAATCTTTTAAACTCACTCTTCAGAAAGAAATGTTCTTAATGGCAAAGTTTGTTTCTCAGCTTTCTGTCTTTTACTATCTTCCCTTTGAAACCAAGTCCTAGTCATATTATTCTACAGGCAGTCTCTCTTTTTTATTGAACTATCTTCCAGCCCATGGGCATCTTTTCCATCCTGGAAGAGGAGTGCATGTTCCCCAAGGCAACTGACACCTCTTTCAAGAACAAGCTCTATGACCAGCACCTGGGCAAGTCCAGCAACTTCCAGAAGCCCAAACCTGCCAAAGGCAAGGCTGAGGCCCACTTCTCCCTGGTGCACTACGCTGGCACAGTGGACTACAACATCACTGGGTGGCTGGAGAAGAACAAGGACCCCCTGAATGAAACTGTCATTGGGCTGTACCAGAAATCATCTGTCAAGACCCTGGCTTTACTTTTTGCTTCCTATGGTGGAGCAGAAACAGGTTATTTTTTTATTTTCTTTTTCAAGCTTTGTGATACTTAAAGATGCAATAAAAAAAGAATATATTGAAAAATTTTTCTTTTTTTTTTCTTTTTCTTTTTTTTTAAGAGGCTAGTGGTGGTGGTGCTGGTGGTGGAAAGAAGGGTGGCAAGAAGAAGGGTTCTTCTTTCCAGACTGTCTCAGCTCTTTTCCGGGTAAAGGATGGATTCATTGTCTATAAAGTGACATGAACACTGTCAAATCTGAGCTATATACACTTGGGTTCTCCTTCTGACATTTCTTGAATGAAGAACAATAATAAGTATGAAGTGCTTTTTTCTAGTAGTTTTCTGTTCAAATTTAGGATCCAGTCTTCATTTGATCCTCTGACTTTCTAATAGGAGTTCACTCACATTCTTTTTGAAAAACATATTTAAGAATCTGGCATGTAATGTAAGTATTAATCTCCAAAAGGCTTGTCATAAAATATTTATAGAGTATTATTTTACTTCCTCCAAAATAAGGTGAAAAATTTTAAACTCCTTTATGGGAATGTTTTTTAATGAAAAGTGCATAGAAGATTTATTTAAATCTAAATTTTGAATTTGAAAGCTTCCTTTTCCTAAGATCCATTATATTAGTTCCTTGGCATCTAGGTACAAAGCATGCAGAAGCAAATTTCTTTAATCTAAGCTGCAGCATGTGATCATGTGTTCCCACAGGAGAACTTAAACAAGCTGATGACCAATCTGCGGAGCACTCACCCCCATTTTGTGCGCTGTATCATCCCCAATGAGACCAAAACACCCGGTAAGATGCTCAAGTAGGAAGAGGATTTGCTCTGACATCCATTCCCCTCCGCACTGGAATCTGTGCCACTCCTTTGTGCTCTGCTCTGCCTTGCTCAGGTGCCATGGAGCACGAGCTGGTGCTGCACCAGCTGCGCTGTAATGGTGTGTTGGAAGGGATCAGGATCTGCAGGAAAGGGTTCCCCAGCAGAGTCCTCTATGCTGACTTCAAACAGAGGTAAGAGCACTGCACTTCTCAGCATCATTAAAAGTGTTGTTGGTCCATTCACAGGTCCATTCGGTTTGTTGTCAAAAATAGCTATATATGAGCTGGCGGGGTTTAGTGGCTCCTGTGTGTTGATTGGGAAAAAATAACCTTCTCTTCCTTTTTCCACAGATACAAGGTGCTTAATGCCAGTGCCATCCCAGAGGGACAGTTCATCGACAGCAAGAAGGCTTCCGAGAAGCTCCTTGGCTCAATCGATGTGGACCACACCCAGTACAAATTTGGACACACCAAGGTACAAACCCCCCATTCCCTCACTCACTCCGTACCTGTGCTTTGCCCGGCCTGACAGTGATGTGCTGCAACATTCCCTCTCTAAGGTGTTCTTCAAAGCTGGGCTGCTGGGGCTCCTGGAGGAGATGAGGGATGAGAAGCTGGCACAGCTCATCACTCGCACACAGGCCAGATGCAGAGGCTTCCTGATGAGGGTGGAGTACCAGAGAATGGTGGAGAGAAGGTACACAATCCTCGTCTTCAGTTAAACTCACTGTGGTTGGAGGAAAGTGTTGACAATTTTCAAACTGAAAATACTCATTGTACATTTGAATTATGCTCCAGAGAGTCCATCTTCTGCATCCAGTACAACATTCGTGCATTCATGAATGTCAAACACTGGCCCTGGATGAAGCTCTTCTTCAAGATCAAGCCCTTGCTGAAGAGTGCAGAGTCTGAGAAGGAGATGGCCAACATGAAGGAGGAGTTTGAGAAAACCAAGGAAGAGCTTGCAAAGTCTGAGGCAAAGAGGAAGGAGCTGGAGGAGAAAATGGTGAAACTGGTGCAGGAAAAAAATGATCTGCAGCTCCAAGTGCAGGCTGTGAGTAACATTTTTCTATACCTTTCTTTATAGGGGAAATAAATAAATAAGATCTAACTCTTCTTTCCTACTATAGGACTCTCAAACTGCATACTAAGCTTTCTTATAAAATATTTTAAGCCTAATACAAGGTAACTAAACGTAAAATTCAGACCACATTCTTTCCCCCATTCAGTCTCACTACTGCGAAGCGGAGTTTAATCCAAAGAATGAGTTTTCACTCTTAATACCTACTTATAATGTGTCCCGTGTGAGTTCATGATATAAAGGCTCATTATAGTTGCTGTAGTGTATTTAGAGGAATAGGGATAGTGATTTGATTGACTTCCTACTCTGCCTTAACTCAGTTGTCAAAGTGAAGAGCCGTGTGCCATTTCTTACAGTAGAACTCACCTCAGCTCCTGTACCTACTGCTCCCAGAAGACACAGATGCCCATTAGAATTTAAAACAGAAGCACTGTGTTTGTCTCTAAAGCCATTTGGCCTCTAAGAATGATGGACAACATTTTGGCAACACTCATGAGTTGAAATGTCTATTTTGAGGAAAGATGAATTTTATTCTAGTGTCCACTAACTGCAATAGCTGGGTATAAAGCTACTAATTCAAGTTTCAAGTATTTCCTCAACGGCAGAGTTATTTACATTTCTCAGTACTTCCACATAAATTTGAATATAGTACATCATAATAAACAATCACTTTCTAAAGAGAAAAGGAAAACTAAATCTAAGTGACTTTATAATACACACAAAATAAATAAGGTGAAATGCAATGTAGCTACACAGAGCTGCACTGATGACTCTAAAGGTCTGAAAAAAATAAAATTTATGAAAATCTTATTCTAGATTTGTAATTTGTAACATAATTGCACAATAAATTTTTCCCAAAAATAATCCCAGAGGTCTCAGAAATGCACATCTGTTCCTTCAGCATTAAATAATCCTTCCTGTATTTTTTCACAAGGAAGCTGATGCTTTGGCTGATGCTGAGGAAAGGTGTGACCAGCTCATCAAAACCAAAATCCAGCTGGAAGCCAAAGTTAAAGAAGTGACTGAAAGGGCTGAGGATGAGGAGGAAATCAATGCTGAGCTGACAGCCAAGAAGAGAAAACTGGAGGATGAATGTTCAGAGCTGAAGAAAGATATTGATGACCTTGAGCTAACACTGGCCAAGGTGGAGAAGGAAAAACACGCAACTGAAAACAAGGTACGAGGCAGAAAATCTCACCCACACGCCAGAAAAGAGTCCCGTGCTCTTCCAGGACTTCTGTATCTACTTCCTTGATTTACGCTTGCTTCCTTCTTCCTAAAGGTGAAAAACCTCACAGAGGAGATGGCAGCCCTGGACGAGACCATCGCCAAGCTGACAAAAGAGAAGAAAGCCCTCCAAGAGGCCCATCAGCAGACCCTGGATGACCTGCAGGCAGAGGAGGACAAAGTCAATACACTGACCAAAGCCAAGACCAAGCTGGAGCAGCAAGTGGACGATGTAAGCCCACGGACACACAGCAGGAACAGACAGGTATGGAGTTTGAGCTGGCTGGTGGAGCACTGATGGCCTTGTTCTGTGTAGCTGGAAGGGTCCCTGGAGCAAGAGAAGAAACTGCGCATGGATCTGGAGAGAGCCAAGAGGAAACTGGAAGGAGACCTGAAGCTGGCCCAGGACAGCATCATGGATCTGGAGAATGATAAGCAGCAGCTGGATGAGAAACTGAAGAAGTAAGTGTGGCCCTGGGGCACCTCAGTGCTGGGCTGCAGCTCTTGTCTTTTTCCTTTGAGCTGTAACCCACTTTGCTTTGCCCAAAGGAAAGACTTTGAAATCAGCCAGATTCAGAGCAAAATTGAGGATGAACAAGCCCTGGGCATGCAACTACAGAAGAAGATCAAGGAGCTGCAGGCAAGTGTCTGCCCTTCCCCTGCCTACCCCAGGCTCGGCTCAGGGAGGAGGAGGGCACGGGTGTGAAGGGTCCCTCGTGTTCTCCAGGCCCGTATTGAGGAACTGGAGGAGGAAATCGAGGCCGAGCGAACCTCTCGCGCTAAAGCAGAGAAGCATCGGGCTGACCTGTCCAGGGAGCTGGAGGAGATCAGCGAGCGCCTGGAAGAAGCAGGAGGGGCGACGGCAGCTCAGGTGGAGATGAACAAGAAGCGGGAGGCAGAATTCCAGAAGATGCGCCGGGACCTCGAAGAGGCCACGCTGCAGCACGAAGCCACGGCTGCCGCCCTGCGCAAGAAGCACGCGGACAGCACAGCTGAGCTGGGGGAGCAGATCGACAACCTGCAGCGCGTCAAGCAGAAGCTGGAGAAGGAGAAGAGTGAGCTCAAGATGGAGATTGATGACTTGGCCAGTAACATGGAGTCTGTCTCCAAAGCCAAGGTATGGAAAAATGGACTGTAAACCACTTGAAAATTAATTCCATTGAAATACATCCTTTCAAATTACAGCCTGGTTACCATCTAACTCCCTGTCTCTCTATGGAGCTGTGTTTCTTACCTTCTAACACCAAGGAACAGTCCAGACCGTGCAAGTCTGTTCATGTTTTTCTGCTTAGAGTCCCGCTCTTCTGAATAAGAAGGCGTCTAGATCCTAATCTTCTTTCATTCTCTGTGACCTCCACAGGCAAATCTGGAGAAGATGTGCCGCACGTTGGAAGACCAGCTGAGTGAGATTAAGACAAAGGAAGAAGAGCATCAGCGCATGATCAATGACCTCAATGCTCAAAGAGCTCGTCTGCAGACAGAGTCAGGTGAGAGAGACTCCCCTGTGTGTGGTGGGACTCCTAAAACAGCTTGTTTGGGTCAAAAATAACGATCAGAGTGCCTCCTTTTCATGTGCTTTCCCAGGTGAATATTCACGCCAGATGGAGGAGAAAGATGCTCTGATTTCTCAGCTGTCAAGAGGCAAACAGGCTTTCACCCAACAGATTGAGGAACTCAAGAGACACTTAGAGGAAGAAATTAAGGTAATTTCTGATTTCCTACAGCTGGCCGCTGAAAACACTCATAATGTCACACTGCCTAGGGGGGGAAGGATATGCTTAGCACAAGCCATACTGTGGGAATGTTTTCATTTCTGCAGCGAGTGTGATTAGTGGATTTAGTCCTCCAGGCTTACATCTGCCCTTTGTTGCAAACAGTCTTTGAGCATTCTTGTTTGCAGTGTGAAATTAATTCATTGGAAGAGATTTCCCAGGATATTGCCATTAGATCCCTCCTCTCTAAGAGGTACTTCAGATATTTGCATGACTACTGAGCTATCATGATGAGACAGGGGAAAAAAACATTTAGGTAATTTAGTGCTTCTCTTCTCATGTTAGCTTCTCCCTAGAATTTATCCATTATTCTCTTTGTCAGTCCCCACTGTCATTTTGCATAGAAGAATAATACAGTGTCCCATTAATATTCAGTCAGATTTCCCAGGATATTTCTGGTCTGTGACTCAATACTCTTGTTGCTGCAGGCCAAGAACGCCCTGGCCCACGCCCTGCAGTCCGCTCGCCACGACTGTGACTTGCTCCGGGAACAATATGAGGAGGAGCAGGAAGCCAAGGGGGAGCTGCAGCGCGCCCTGTCCAAGGCCAACAGCGAAGTGGCCCAGTGGAGAACCAAATACGAGACGGACGCGATTCAGCGCACGGAGGAGCTCGAGGAGGCCAAGTACGTGGGGAGTGGGATGAGAAATGACTGCAGAAGACTGAGAGCGGTCAAAGGAAATGGGAGTCTCTGAGCGGGCTGAGACAGGGTTAGGATGAAGGCAGGGATATACTGTCTTTGTGTGCAAAGCAGATAGAGGGGAGGAGAAAAAAAGTGTATATTGGAAGGGAAAGCATAGGCTTTAGGGCTAGAAGTGCAAAGACAGGCCTAATGCACACAGAAAGGATAGATCCTTTAGGATCTGTGAAAAGTGCTCATCTCAGAACCCCCAAAGTGGCCAACTGCCCTCTCATGGCAGTGCAGAACTGACTCCCTTCTAAGCTCTAAGCTGCCACTGTGCTTATCTCCTCCCAGGAAGAAGCTGGCACAGCGCCTGCAGGATGCAGAGGAACACGTTGAAGCTGTCAATGCCAAATGTGCCTCCCTGGAAAAGACAAAGCAGAGGCTGCAGAATGAAGTGGAGGACTTGATGATTGATGTGGAGCGATCCAATGCTGCCTGTGCTGCTCTGGACAAGAAGCAGAAGAACTTTGACAAGGTCTTTTGGGCTTCAGCCCTGGGACTCCTGGGCAGAGCCTCCCCCCCGGGATGGCCACATCCCTACTCACACCCCGTTTCTCTTCAGATCCTGGCAGAATGGAAGCAGAAGTATGAGGAAACGCAGGCTGAGCTGGAGGCCTCCCAGAAGGAGTCTCGCTCCCTCAGCACGGAG